GACGGCCCAAGAGGCCTCTAAGAGGGCCTCCAGGAAGGCCCGAATAATGGAACGGAATGCAATGAAAGTCTGCGCGCCGTCTCCGGTAACCGAAGCGGTTCCCTAGAGGGCAGACCGTGCGCTGAGCATGTCGAAAAACGCAATTAACAAATCATCCGGCGCGCAAGCAACGAGCACGCGCGGGAAAATACGGTTAACAAATCCTCTGGCAGGCACTCAGTCAGAGAAACCCACCCGGCTAAAAAGGGCAAGGGGAGGAGAAGGAGGAGGAGGAGGAGGAGGAGGAGGAGGAGGAGGAGGAGAAGAAGAGGAGAGGGGAACAACCAGCAGCACGCCGTGGTCTCATTCTTCACTCAGCGGATCAGAGAGACCGCTGTCTTATCATGTACGGAACGCGTCACCCCATCTCAAGCTGGGTCTGCCGACAGAGCGTTTGGCTACAGTCCTGAACCAAGGCTTCCAGCATAATAACATGTTGATTCATTTTTGTTCGGTGTTCAGAGAGAGTCGCGTAGCATAGTGCCATATACTTTCCGCTTGGAATCTGCCCCAAACATTTGATGTTGTAGTTGTTGCAACATGCATCGTCTCGTGAAGTTGCACGTCTTAAGTAACCGACCCAACTTTCATCATCACCTCTCGCTGCGCGGAACATGCTGCGTAGGATCCTTCTCCGGGCAGTTCTGAATCTGAGTAAAGAGGCGGTGCCCGTTGTCCACCTTTCACACCCATGCAGTGCAGTTGGGGTCACCACGCTGTCAAATAGTCGCACTCGCTGCCATAGGGGATACGTCCTCGAACACAATACTTTCCGGAATTTCGCAAAATGTTCCCGCGCCTGTGCCAATCGATTCGTGAACTCGACCTCGCGGCAATGGCCCAGGATAACCGTCTCCCCAAATATGTGTCATATTCTTCTGGGTTCCAGATATCGACGTCGTGTCTGGACAACGAAAGTCGTGATACCGCATTCGTACTTGAATGTGTTAAATTGGTTGCTTTTGCACGGCTAGACTGTACTTTGCTGCCTCGTCCTTGAAGCCCCATCAACATCTTGACCGTGTTTGCCTTGCTCTGGGCTAATCAGACAACGTCGTCCGTAAACCTGGGACTCGTCAGAGGGTCCGACACGGAGTCCACGACAAAAACCGTAGCATTGCCCCGCCATGCGTAAGTTCAGGTAGTTCCACCTTTCTTCAAGCTGCGAAAACATATTTCCATGACCGCAACAAATAATGAAGCCGATATTGGATCTCCTTGTTTCACACCGCGTGACATACCCAATGTCCCTGACCCTGTTCCAGCAACGACGACTGCCTCTTGGTCTCGATCAAGTGTTTTGAGCAAGGCGATATACTTGAGTCCACCTCCCAAGCCAGCCAATACCTTCCAAAGCGCAGCATGTTCGACCATGCCAAACGCTTTTTCAAAGTTTACCAACGCAACGTACAACGTTTGATTCCATTCAGCACAGCCCTCTGTGAATAAGCTCATGGCCATCAGATGGTTCACCGTTGACAAGCCCTTTTTGGTACACGGCCTGGTCCGGAGACTGATCTGACATGATAATCAGCTGCAACGTGTTGCGTAATATGCGCGCAAAAAGCTTGAATAAGATTGGAAGGATCGCGACGGGCATGCAGCTCTTCACAAAGATCGGGTCTTCCTTCTTGGGTATTACGATCAGCAGTGTTGTCTTCCACGTCTCTGGCATTGTGGCGCTCAGGTCAAAGACGTCTTTGCATAAGTCCAGCACGTTGCCTCAGAAGCGGTTGCGAGGCGCCCTCAACATCCCAACGACTAGTCCCGATTGGTCTTTGCATTTTCCGCATCTCAGAACTTCCCGTGCTGCGTCCAGCTCTTGTGTTGTGAACAATGGAAAATCCAGAAGAGAGGTCGGTGTTGTTTGTGTCCGCGTTGCCGCGCCACTTGAACAAGTTCTCATAGAAGCGAGCACATGATTCAGCCATGTCGTCCTTGTCGAACTGCTCCACCCCAGATTCATCGCGCACGGATGTAATGAGCTGATTCGTCGCGCCACTTGTTCGTGAAAGTGCAGATATCCCGCGAAATGATGTAAATGTCTCGCGCATGTCTGCTAGCTTCTTCTAAGTCTGTCTTGCCTGGATGAGCTTCTTGATAGTTTTGCTGAGCTCGAGTCTTCGGGCGTTCTTTTGTTCAGTGGTACTTGAGTGGTTCCGTCGTAAGCCCCTTCGCCCAGCAATCCACGTCTGCAATTCTACATCATCGCTGTTTGAGCTGCGTTGCAGAGTTTTCTTCGGAAGCGCCTTTCCCAATGCTGTAGCCGTGCATCGCTCCAAGCACCCAGATAGTACCTCAGCGTTCTGCATGTGCATCGACTTGTGAATCGGGTATGTGCCTGTACACGGACTTGCTGGAAATAGAATTCCAATGCTTGTGAGTTTGTGACGTTCCTCGGTGTTGATGCTTGTGGCATGTGTTTGCTCGGCCTCCCGACGGCCAGAGACGGTCCAACAGCCCCGAAACCTCGCCCGAAAGGCCTCCAGCATGGGGAGGCCCCCAAGGCGGCCCCAAGGGGCCCCAAGACGGCCCAAGAAGGCTCCAAGACGCCCAAGATGGCCTCCGAGACGGCCCTGGAGCACCCCAACGGGGTTCCAAGTCGGCCAACATAGGCCCCAAGACGGCGTTTGACGGCGCCAGACGGGCCAGGAGCCCACCAAGACAACCCAAGGTGGCCCTAAGATAGCCCAGGAGAGCTCAAGGGGCCCCCAGGAGGCCCCCAAGACGACCCGAGAGGCCTCCAAGCGGGCCCCCCCAGGAAGGTCTGAAGAGGCCAACATCATTGACTTCCCGTTGGTTTTTGACGGAGGTTGGCAGTTGCTTCTTTTCGGCCTTCCGACGGCCCGAGACGGCCCAAGAGCCCCGAAAGATCGCCCGAACGGCGTCCAACATGGCCCCAGAACGGCCCAGGAGGCCACCAAGACGGCCTCAAGAGGGCCCTAAGACGGCCCAAGAGGCCTCCAAGACGCCCAAGATGGCCTCCAAGTCGGCCCAGAGAGGGTTCCAAGCCGGCTCAGAGAGGCCCCCAAGACGGCTTCCGACAGCGTCAGACGGGCCAGGAGTGCCCTCAGACGGCCGAAGAGGCCCTCGATAATACCCAAAAGGCACCCAAGAGGCCCAAGGAGGCCCCCAAGATGCCTCCAAGAGACTCCGAGGAAGCTCCCAGGAGGCCGTAAGAGTGCCCCCAGAGGCTCCCCAAATGCCCTCTCCTCTTCCTCCTCCTCCTCTCCTCCTCCTCCTCCTCCTCCTCCTCCTCCTCCTCCTCCTCCTCCTCCTCCTCCTCCTCCTCCTCCAGCTCCTCCTCCTCCTCCTCCTCCTCCTCCTCCTCCTCCTCCTCCTCCTGGTCTTCCCCGCCATCATCCCCCAAGTGTTCCCCGATGGGTTTCCACAACGGTTGGGGGAACACATGGTCCGATAGCTTGGCAGAGCTCTTGCCACAACGCTCGGCCACATGGGCGATATCAAAAGGCAGGGGGGCGCGGTGATTCGTCGTAGGCGCCTTCGATCCAAGAGGGGCCTGAAATCCCCCGAACTTCCCCAGAGAGCCCCCAGGGGGCTCCCACAGAGTTCTCCAGGAGACGACCAGGCTCGACTCCCAGATGGTCAGCGATGGCGCTGCATTGCCGCCAACAGGATCCAAGATGCCATCAAAGACGGCGATGATGAGCCCGTCTGACCTAAGATGGGCCCTGGATGCCTCCAAGACGGTCCATGATTGCGGCACACGAAGCCGCCATGGTGAAGCCTGACGAGGCTCCCAGAGCCCCGACAAGGGTATCAAGAGGTCTCCTCCTCCTCCGCCTCCTCCTCACTCTTGCTGTCCTCCTCGTTCTCCTCCTCCTCCTCCTCCTCCTGCTCCTCCCACTTCTGCTCCTCTTCATCCTCCTCCTCCCTCTCCTGATTCCCTCCCTCTTCTGCAAAAGCACATCGGCAGATAGCTTGGCCAAGCTGTACTCCTCGTCATACGCTTCTTGGGAACCTCATGGGGCTTCAGGGGACCTCTTCGGAGCGTCTGATCCCAACGTTCCCTAACAACTCTGGATGCCACCTTCATCATGGGGGTCTTCTTCCAGGGTCGGCGGCACGGGCTGTCAGGCCTTCACAATATCTGAAATGAAAAAAGCAACGTGGCAAATCCAGTGCGAAAAAATATACGCGGAGAGGGCCGAATATCTTTTGGACGGGGTCAGGGGAGAGAGGAGAGTGCTATTTTTTATTATCTTGCACAGCTGTGCTCTAGAGCTCGGACATCTTTATTTTCGTGTCGTGTCGTGTCGTCCCCCTGCCCTCCCCCCTGCCCCGCCCCGCCCAGGCTCCCCAGGGCAGCCCCCCTGGGCCTCGGACACCTTTATTTTCGTGTCGTGTCGTGTCGTTCGTCCCCCTGCCCCCCCCCCTGTCCCCCCCCCCCGCCCAGGCTTCCCAGGGCAGCCCCCGTGAGCCTCGGACACCTTTGTGCAAGAGCCAGGGCACGCGTGCCACTTGTTTGCAACTGAGCGACGAAAAGAAACAAGTCTTACGCACGATGACATCGCGGCCTCACGCTGCAGCGTACGCGGGCCGCCAGCGCGGCACGCCACACTGGAAACGAGGGCGCTTCCACGAGACCTTACGCGGGCAATTTATGCGCGAATGCAGGCACAATCGAACCCGTTTCCTGTGTCGCTCAATCTTCACGCAGCTTCGCCTCTACCGGGGGGTGTAGCGACTGAAACTGCACCCGAAAGTCTGCAAGAGAGAAACCGAAACAGGCGCCCAGACTTGTGGTCGCACGCCCCAGTGTCCGAAATTCTTGGTTCGAAACCAAGGCTGTGTTCAAGCTCGGTCAAAGCCCCGGCCACACCACGTTTTCGGTCACGACGTCGGGCACGCTCTCGGCCACCGGTTTCTCTTCGTGTCGGTCGCAAGCCTTTTCGGCTGCTAGGGGCCGGGCGCCACGACAATTGCAGAGAGGAGCAGGCCTGCGCCCGCGGGAGCTCCCCTCGCCGTCCGAGCCGCTGCCGCTCTGGCCGCCCCGGCTGCACCTGCCGGAGGAGGGCTCCGCGACGGCGTCCTGGTGCGCGCCCGCCTGCCTCGCCTGCCGCGCCTGCGGGGAGCAGGCAGGGCCCGGCACGAGGCACGGAGCACGCGGTGCTCTCTGGACGGGGTGCGGACGCCCAAGGGCGCGGGGGATGGACCCTCCGACGGAGCTTGCCTCTTCCCACCACCCTCCCTCCCTCCCTCCCTCCCTCCCTCCCTCCCTCCCTCCGTCCCTCCGTCCCTCCTCCTGCTCCTCCTGCTCCTCTTCCTCCTCATCCTGACTCCTCCTCCTCCTCCTCCTCCTCCTCCTCCTCCTCCGCTCCTCCTCCTCCTCCGCCTCCTCCTCCCCCTCCTCCTCCTCCCTCCTCATTTCCCCCATCCTCCTCCTCCTCTCCTCTTCCTCCTCCTCCTCCTCTCCTCCTCCTCCTCCTCCTCCTCCTCCTCCTCTCCTCCTCTCCTCATTCCTCCTCCTCATCCTCCCCTTATCTCCTCCTCCTCCTCCTCTCATCCTCCTCTCCTGATCCTCCTCCTCTCCTCTTCCTCCTGCTACTACTCTTCCTCATCCATCACCACCCACCACCACACCACCACCACCACCATCCATCATCATCATCATCATCATCATCATCATCATCACCACCACCACCACCATCATCATCATCATCTCTATCATCAGCATCATCATCACCATCATCATCATCAACATCATCATCATCACCACAACCATCATCATCATCATCAGCATCATCATCATCACCATCATCATCATCATCAGCATCACCATCATCATCCTTCAACCCCCCTTCCCTCCATCCGTATCGACAGCACGTGCCCAACCCGCCCGCGGATCCAAGGGAGGGCGATGATTATCCCATCCAGCGTTGGCACATACGACAAGAGATCTTGCTAGATGTGATCTTGGGACACACTCTTCGCCAATCTCTCAGGGCCCTGAGGTGATCCAGAGCTTCTGTGGGTCACGAGGCCGTCGGGTGATCAGAAACTTCCGTGGGGCACCCGCTGGCAGGCCGGTCTCTGATTCGGTGCGCCTGCTGTACGGAGGTCGGCGCTGGACCCCCCCATCCTGCCTGGCGCGCGGAGCGCTCAAGGTCTGGGCGGTCCAGCGCAGATCCAAGAAATCCGCGTGGCCCTCATCGGGAGTTCGTGAATTGGGGGTGCAACAGATGTAGTGTGAAGAACCGTGCACTTCCGGGGCGTGAAAACGACCACAGCCACTGCTTTTCTTTCGTTGCCGCCTTCCAGCCCGCAGAAACAAAGCAGTGGCTGTGGTCATCTCCGTTGAGCCTGGCACCAGGAGAATGACCACAACCGCTGCTCTTCTTCGGCCGGCCGGAAGGCGGCGCAAACAAGAGGCAGTGGCTGTGGTCACTTTCCCGTCCCGCGGCACCTCTCGTGCACCTCTCGGGCCCGTGGCGGCAAGCCAGGGGCCGTGCAGTGCCCCTTGGGCTGCTCTCCTGCAGTCCTCGACGCCCTCACGTGTCCTGCCCCCGCCCGCGGCCGCCCGCGCGGAGCTCCAAACTTGTACGCCTGTGCCGGTTATTCTGAAGGGGCTCCAAGACACACAAATAAGCACACACAGATAAAAAGATGTCCCATATTTTCCCATATTTTCTGGGTTTTCGTCTTCCCCCCCACTTCCCATATTTTCCCATCTTTTCTGGGGATCGACGATAAATTGTGTCTGTGCGTTCCTCCCCTCCTGATATTCTTCCCTCCGCTCGCATTCAGCAGGAACGCCACGAAGACGTTGGCCGCCACGGTGACCCCCACGATGTAGTGGCAGACGAAGTACGCTCGCGTCCACTCGCCGAGCGCGGCGGCGGCCGCGTCCATGACGACGTACCAGTTGTTGACCACGAGCTGCTCGAAGAGCACCATGGCGGAGGACGCGAGGGAGTTGAAGTTGTTGGACCAGTACCTCAGGGCGGCCCACTGCGTGTGCTGCAGCGATGCGTTCGACTGCCTGAGGAGGCCCCCGAAGAGCTGGAGGCCGATCTCCGCGAAGAGGAGGTGGACCGCCAGCATGGCATTGAGGACGAGTGACGCGGCGGGGAGCAGCCTGACCAGGCTCTGGAGGAAGGCCTGCACCGATTCTCGCCGGCCGAAAACCCGGAGGGTGCTCGCCATTCGGAGGAGCGTGCGCATCTTCCAGAAGGAGTGCGAGAAGCCCTCCGAGGGCCTGGCAAGCGTGACGCCCTCAGCCAGCGTGACCATGGCGATCAGCACGAGCTCTCCCCTGTGCACAGCTGGGGCCCCTCGGTTCCAGCAGTATCGCAGGCCCCCCTTCCCGAACACCCGCACGCACATCTCGGTCGCCCACAGGAGAGTGAAGAAGTGGCTTATCAGGAGCTCGCGGCGCTCGAGAAACCTCTGGTGCTCCGAGGCGGTGCCGTTGATCGGGGAACAGATAATGACATAACCATCAACTTACGGAGCTCCGCGCGGATTTCTCGGATCGGTGCTGGACCCCCCCTGGCGGCGCCTCCAGCACCACCCCTGGCGCGCTCCGCGCGCCATGGAGGGGTGTCCAGCGCCGATCCAAGAAATCCGCGCGGACCTCCCCAAGATGATGCTCATGCCATTCTACGTTCCCCGAGTTGAGAACGTACAGGAGAGTCTCGCGCATCAGGGTCGCGAGATTCGCGCATAGAAGTCGGCTGCACGCCAGAGTGACCGTGGGCAAGAATGACCTTAAGTGCGCGGCTGTAATGGGGGATGACGATTAATTAATGACCGGGGGTCGTGTTCACGCGGCGGCGCCCGGGGTGACGATTAGAATTACCCCAGTGAGACCCTACCTAGGAGTTGGAGCCCCTAGGAAAGCAGCATTAGCAGTAACAGTAAAGCTAAGCTAAGCTAAAGCTAAGGTAAAGCTAAGCTGAAGCTAAGCTAAAGCCAAGCTACATCTAAGCTAAAGCTAAGCTAAAGCTAAGCTAAAGCTAAGCTAAAGCTAAGCTAAAGCTAAGCTAAAGCTAAGCTAAAGCTGAAGCTAAGCTGAAGCTAGGCTGAAGCTAAGCTGAAGCTAAGCTGAAGCTAAGCTGAAGTTAAACTGAAACTAAGCTGAAGCTAAGCTAAGGCTAAGCTAAAGCTAAACTAAAGCTAAGCTAAAGCTAAGATAAAGCTAAGCTAAAGCTAAGCTAAAGCCAAATTAAAGCCAAATTAAAGCTAAGCTAAAGCTAAGCTAAATCTAAGCTAAAGCTAAGCTACAAGTCAGCTAAATCTAAGCTACGTTTAAGCTAAAGCTAAGCTAAAGCTAAGCTAAATCTAAGCCAACACTAAGCTAAAGTTAAGCTAAAGCTAAGCTAAAGTTAAGCTGAAGGTAAGCTAAAGCTAAGCTAAAGTTAAGGTAAAGCCAAGCTAAAGCTAAAGCTAAAGCTAAAGCTCCCAAGGGACTGGGGGAACCGCGGGGCGGATACTGGGGGAACCGCCCGGGGCGGGCCCCACTGCCCGGCCCCTTAAGCAAAGAGAGTAAGAACACTTCTAGGCAGACCCTAGGTAGGGAAAAAACCGGCCGCGGGCTGGACAACTATTTTTTATCGTTCTCCTCCAGTCAGAAACTTGTGCAGAAATAACAGGAAACTATGTTTTAACTCGTTATCTCCAATTTTTTAATTAATCGTCATCCCGCATTAAGGGGTGCTGGTGGGACCCCCTCTGCGCCCGCACCAGAGGTCACTCCGGCGAAAGGTCACTCCTGCGCGTAGCCGAAGAAGGGCGTCGATGATCAGCTGCGAAGCAGGGCTGCCCAGGGCCTGCGCGACCCAGAGGCGGCGCGCTCCTCCGAGCGGGGGGCGTTGGGAGCGGGCGCTGGCCACGACGCGGCGCACGTCCTCTGGATTACCAGCCTCGAACGTATCCCTATCCCTAAGATTGACACGCCAAAAGGCGATGACAATCTTAGGGACTCGCCCTCAAAAAATGAGGAAATCCCTAAGATTGGTATCGTGATGAGAAGGTGCCCAGCATAGGGATAGGGATATGTTCCAGGCTGGTAATCTAGAGGCCTCCTGAAGATGGGGTCCGAGCAGATCTGGGGTCGGAGGATCGCGCCGCAACGCTGGCGCATCGGCGATGCCTCGGCGGCGCCGACGACGCCTCGGCGCCGACGGCGCGGAGAAGGTTCGGGCTCCACATCGAGCCGCAGCGGCGGTGCAGCTGCTCCGGCCCCCAGACCCCATCTGGGAGGCCCAGGGTCCTTGTTGCCCAGCGTGAGCACGAGCGCGCAGAACTCGTCCCGGCTGAGGCCCTCGGGGGTCGCGGAGCTCGCCTGCACGCACCCGAAGATCCCCAGGCCGCGCGAGTGCGGGTCCCGGTCGCGGATGGCCCCGGGGGCCCACTCGTCGTAGAAGGCGCTCCAGGCCGCTGCGGAGACGAAGGAGGCACCCGCCGCCGGGGAGCGGGCCGCCCCCAGGGAGGAGAGGACGTCGAAGGCCCCCTGCAGCGCGCGCTCCTTGCGGAGGAGGCTGTTCACCACGCGGCGCTGCAGTATGCCGTAGTACGCCGTGTAGATGTCCGAGAGCACCAGGTTCATGAGGACGAAGAGGCCGAAGCAGAGGAAGCCACAGAAGAAGAGGAACGAGGGCCACCACTCGTTCACGAGGGGGGTCTGGATGTCTGGGTAGTTGGACGTCGTCATGAGTATGAACAGCTGCAGCAGCGTGTTCTCGTACTTCACAAACTTGTCCGCGAAATCCGCAAACAGTACCGTGGCGACCCACGTGGATATGGCCAGGAATACCCCGACGCTGCAGTACAGGTACCGCGTGGCCCACACGGCCTGGGCGACGAGCGTAACACCCTGGCGCGCCTGGGACGACGAGCACGCGAAGACAGAGGAACACACGACGGCATAAACATAACTTCGCGGAGGTCCGCGCGGCTCTTGGATCGGCGCTAGACCCCCCTGCATGGCGCGCGGAGGGCGCCAGGGGCGGCGCCAGAGGCGCCGCCAAGGGGCATCAGCACCGATCCAAGGAACCCGCCGTGGAGCTCCGAAAACTAATGTCTATGCCACTTTCTGTTCCTCGAGAAGAGCACGGGCCGCAGCACGCGGTACAGCTGCAGGCGCGGCGGCAAGCCGCCGACGCCGACCATCCGCGCCGCGACCTTGGGGGCCAACAGCACGGGGGCATGTGGCCCAAAGGGGGGAAACCGCGGCCTTGATCCGCGATACGTCGCCAACAGATCGGCATATTAACTAGGCCCCCGACACCGACCATGCACAGCCCTGGGCGGGGGCTGTCGGGCCCCTCTCGGCGATAGATGAGCGACCGTGGGGCGATGCATCCCCCCCGAGCCTATACCCGTCCGTGGCGGTTTCCGGGCCATCGCTCGGGTCTCCGGCGGCTGCTAGGGACGATCCGGGCACCCTCCGAACGCCCTGGGCGAGGCGCAGCTGCTGGAAGGCACCCCGAGGCTGGAAACCCTCCGAGAGCCGACGAGAGCGCCCGAACACCTCGAGCCCGAGCCTCGAACCTCGAACCCCAAGCCCCGACGACCTCCGCGAGGCTGCAGCCCACCAGGCTGGAGCTCAGGGCCACCCAGGCGCGCTGCCCGCGGGGCGCCCTCCGGCTGGGGCCGGCGCGGCCCGCCGGCGCCTCGCCGTCGGAGCCGCTCGAGGCGTCCTCGGCGCCGACGGCGCGCGGGAGGGAGGCGAACATGAGCCCGCAGTCACCTGTCGGGGGTTGCTAAAGGTGCCCCTGGCCCAAGGTACCCCTAGCTTTTCGCTCAATTTTTGAGCCCCTGGGCCTTCTGGGCCTCGTGAGGGGTGCTCTGGAGGCCGTGGGGGCCTCCTTGGAAATCCTGGGGGCACCTTGGGCCAGGGGCACTTCTAGCAACACCCGAACCTGGAGGCGGGCGCCCAGAGCGGGGCGCGGGCCCCGAGATCCCGGCGCTGCCATCTCCTCACGCCGGGCGTCTGCGTCGGGCTGCGGGCCCCGGGGGAGCCTCGCAGCTCGCTCGGGCTCGACGGAGGGCGCGGAGGGATGGGGTCCCGGGGCTCTGGCCGTGAGTTTTCACGGTGATGCATTCTTGTTCGCTACGTCGGATCTCAAGGGAGGAGGAGGAGGAGGAGGAGGAGGAGGAGGAGGAGGAGGAGGAGAAGGAGGAGGAGGAGACGAACACGAGCAGAAGCAGCAAACGCGGCAGCAACATAAACTTTCGCGTAAGCTTCCGGAGTTCCGAGCGGATGTCTCGGGTCGGCGCCTGGGCCCTCCCTGGCGGCGCCACCGGCGCCACCTCTGGCGCGCGCGCGGGCTCCGCGCGCCAGGGAGGGGAGGGGGGGTCCAGCGCCGCTCCCAGAAACCCGCGCGGAGCTCCGAAAATGTACTCTTATGCCGTCTCCTGCTCTTCGACGCGGCAGCTCCTGCTGCCTAATTACTTCCGCCGGCTTCCGCCATCGGAGGCGGCCTCACCTTGCTTCCGCCGCCCTTCCGCCGCCCTTCCGCCGCCGTCCGCCGAGGAAGAGATGCCAACGCCTTCGATCCCTGAAGGCGAGGCCCTTTGAAGGGGCCCTGGGACACACAAACAAATACACACACTAAACAAAAAAAAAAACGGATTCCCCACATTTCCCCATACTTTCTGGGCTTTTTTGTCCCCCCCCTTCCCATCTTTTCCCACATCTTCCTGGGAATCGACGATTCCTTGTGTCTCTGCGTGTCTTTTTCCCCTCCTGGCCCCTGCTGACTACCCACCAGACCACCCCAACCCAACCCGAAGACCCGAATTTGACCCGATTTCGGGTTGGGGGGGTACGGGTTCCATATGCGTTTTCTCAATGTTCCCCGACCCCCCCCCCCTTCCCATCATTTCCCACATCTTTCTGAGAATCGAGGATTCATTGTGTCTCTGCGTGTGTTTCTCCCCTCCTGGCCCCTGCTGGAACGCCTCCCACGACCCGCCGTCACCGAGCAGCGCCGCCAGCAGCACCAGCGCCGCCAGGAGCGACGCGGCCCGGGGCAGCACCGCCAGGGGCCAGGCGGCGAGCTCCCCGCGGGGCGCGCCGCCCGGGCAGAGCTCCTCGTCCTCGGCGCAGTACGGCGGCTGCTCCACGAAGCCGAGGGCGATGTAGCACGCCAGGACCGCCTGGGCGACGAAAAACGAAGCGCGTCTTACTAATTACGCGAGACTCGGGGAACCAAAAGTCTCGTAAACCTAGCAACTCCGAGGTCCGCGCGGATGTCTCGGATCGGCGCTGGGGCCCCCCCGCGGCGCCTCCGGCGCCGCCCCTGGCGCGCTCCGCGCGCCAGGGAGGGGGGTCCAGCGCCGATCCGAGAAATCCGCGCGGACCTCTGAGTTTTAGTGTTTATGACACTTTTTGTTCCCCTAGAGATGGCATTGGATGAGGGACCACTGGAGAAGGAGCCCAGGGTCTGGGAGCCGGTGGAGCTCCGATCGTGGACCGGCCATAGGTGTCACAACTGCCCCCGTCAGAGGAGGTATCCTCCAGGGTCTGGAGCCTCTGGGGCACGTTCCTCAGCGAAAGCCCCCGCCCGTACGCGAGATGGCATGGCGACCTCACGCTGCGGCTTACGCGGGCTGCCAGCGCGGAACGCCACACTGAACACGACTGCGCTCACGCGCGACCCTGCGCGGGCAGCCTACGCACGAACGCTGGCGCAGTCGACCCCGCTGTCTTCCGCCGCTCGCCTGGCGGTGGGGCAGAAGCCGCCGGTGCAGCAGGTACATCCTGGCGGCCCGGGGGGTGTCGAAGATGGGGATGCGCCGAGACCCCGAGTGGCCGCGCAGCCCCGCCTCCACCATCGCCGCCGCGCGGACGACCGCCGCCACCGCGCTCGCAGAGCTGGCAGCGAGGGCCTCTGGCTCGGCCAGCACATGCTTGGAGAAGGAGAAACGGCATACACTGCGCCACGAAAATATCGACGAACCAACAACACACACACACACCCATACACATAGAGGGGTCGGAGAGGGCTATGGGTGCGTGTTGTCGGATGGGGGTCCCCGCTCGAACGGGAGCGTTCCCCAGGGTCCGACAACCCGCACCCATACCCATAGCCAGTCCTCCTCCCAACGACCCCCCTATGGGTATGGGTGTGTGTGTTGCTCGTTCGTCAAATATGAACACAGACGCCCTCCGACGAACTTTCCATGTGCCTGCAGGGAGGGCGGCAGTGTCACGGGCTCCCAGTGATGAGTTGGACACCGCCACTCTCCCCCGAGGCCCAGGAACGCTCCATCGGGAGCGGCCAAGAGGGTGTCCAAGAGGGGGGGGTGCAAATCATGACCAGCGGCATGTGAGCGGCCCAGCGGGGGGGCCAGGGACGTAAGGAAATAAGAAGAGGCGCCATGAAATCTGGGGAAACATCATGGCGCCCGCCATGATATCCACCCCCCCCTAGTCCTCACCCCCCTCTTTTCCGCCCCCGACTCCACTGTGGCAGATACACGCAGACTTCCGAGGCTCCGCCTGCAGGCTTCTCCGAGAGGCGCATGGGCTCCCTGGCGCGCGCCTGGCGCGCGCCAGGGGCTGCGCTGGAGCGCGCGCGCGCGCCAAGGGCGGGCCGGAGGCGCCGAGAGGAGGAGGAGGAGGAGGAGGAGGAGAGGGATGAGAGGAGGAGGAGGAGGAGGAGGAGGAGGAGGAGGAGGAGGAGGAGCGAGGAAGCCGCGCGGAGCTCCGAGGGCTCCGGCTCCAGGTGCCGCCGTGTCTCCTTCGGGGCTCGGCCGGCAGGTGCTCGAGCTCGAAGGAGGCGAGGGCGCCGCCGTGCCGCCCGGCGCCCGCGCCCGCGGCGCCCACGAGGGGAGCGGCGCCGCCCTCGGCCATGCTGGCGCCGAGGGCTGCGGGGGGGGGAGGCGGGGCCGTACATGCGGCGCTCGGGTGGGCCGCGGCCTCGAGCAGGGCGGCCCGCAGCGAGAAGCCGGACAGCGCGAGGATGCCCTGGCACCGTTCCGCTGGGAGGGGCTATCCCGTGCGCAGGAGGGCGATGCTGCCTGCCGAAGAGCTCTTATGTGTACAGAGCGTACCAGGGATGCAGCGGCCAGCGCTGTGCATGGGCTGCTGCCTCGGGCCTACGAGAACCATCGCGCGCGCTTGGGTTCTAGCTGGTCGAGTGCTGACCGCATTGGGACAACAAGGCGGTCATGAATAATGAGGTCAACATTCTCTGTTTCCTCCTGCCTGTTCCTCATTCCCCCTCCTCCGCTCTCATCGACCAATCGACAGGTGACCTGTCGCCAAGCTTCTTGGGGACCTCTTGACCCCTCCTGGGGGCTTCCTGGGGCGAAGATCTTGGGTTCTCGGTTCACGTTCCAGATACTGGCCTTCTGCCCATCCCGCCACCGTGCCTGGGTTGTGGGTTAGAGGCCTCTTGGAAGCTCGTCTGGAATTCGTGAGGAGCTGCCTGGGGGCCTCTTGAGGCCGCTTGGGGTGCATGTGGGGCATCTTTTGTGGTCCCTTTGGGGCCTCGTGGGGGCCTCTAGGGGGCCTCTTCGGCTCTGTTGGGGGTCTCTTGGGGCCTCCTAGAGGCCTATTGGGGCGGAAGTCTCGAATTCTCGGTTCGTGTTCCCCCTCGTGGGCCAGTCTTGGGGCCGTCTTGGGGCCTTCTTGGGCGATCTTGGGCGCGGAGCACTTGGGGCAATCAATGCCACTCGTGTCAAGGAGCCCGCACGTGCAACTCTGCAGAAAAAACAGCCGACTTGTTCCCCTGCGGCTAGGATCGACCCTCGCGGCACTCTACACCACAAAGCATTGTTCCTCCGAGCCCGTGGGGCGCGCGCCGACAACGCGCTCCCCGACAGTCGGCTCGAGGAGCAGCAGGAGGAGGCAAACAGAGCATCGTTTAACCGATCCCTATCCCCACTGGCGTGGCCTGGGCCCTGCTGGTCGATTTACTCTTTAGATGCAGATGCAAGTCAACATTCTCTGTGTCCTCCTGCCCCTTCTTCATTCCTCCTCCTCCGCTCTCATCGGCCAGTCGACCGGTGATCTGTCGCCAAGCTATGGGCCAGGAAAAATGCAGCGCTACAGCGCCATGTTGCACTATGCTATGGAATGCCATGATACGCTATGCTACGCTATAAAGCGCAATGACAATATGCAGTATGCAATGAAATAACATGATATACGTGCGCACTGCATGCCATGCCATGCTGTGATGTAAAATGCTATGGTAATTTATGGGATGGCAAGCAGAGCCATAGCATGCTATGTTTTCTACGAAGAACGATGCTACCGCGTTACATGGTTTGCACAGACATGGCATACTGTGTTATGCAATGCAATGCAGTGCAATGCAATGCTATGCTATGCCATGCTATGAGCTGCTAGGCAAAAATACACAGGACGACAGTAAGAGCAACAACGAGGGTGTGACATTTGCATGAGTTATGTTTACTGTTGCGCCGAGCAGTACGGTGAGATTCGATTAATGTATGCGCATTGGAATGCCATAGTACGCCACGATGCATCATGAGATGCAATGCCATGCTAGGCAATGTTACGTCGTGACGTGCAATGCTAGGCTCAGCTAGACACTGTTATGAAATGTAATGCTATGGCATGCTGAACCATGCTGTGGTATGCACTGGCACGGTTAGCTCTGTCGTGCTGTGCCGTGCCATGTCATGTCATGCAACGCTGCGATGCCACGATAGGCTAGGCGGTCCTTTGCTGTGCACCAGTATGTTTTGGAGGTCTCTTGGGGGCCGTTTGGGGTGCTCTTGGGGCCTCTTTTGAGGCCTCTTTGGGGCCTCGTGGGGCATCTAGGGGGCCTCTGGGGGGCCTTTTGGTATCTGTTGGGGGCCTCTTGGGGCCTGCTGGAGGCCTCTTGGGGCGGAAGGCCCGACTTGTCGGTTCGTGTTCCCCCTCTTGGGGCCGTCTTGGGGCCCTCTTGGGCGATGTTGGGCGCCTCGTGGGCCGTCTTGGGGCTCTCTTGCGCGGTCGTGGCGCCCTCTTTGGCTGCCTCTTGGGTCATGTTGAGCTGATTTCTGGGGCCTCGTGGGCTGTCTTGGACCGTCGGAAACACGCAACAGCGAGAACACGAAAAACCTCCGAAAAACCTTCGACGAAACCCACTCCGTTCGCCTCCTGAATCCCTCGTGGGAGTCCTTTTGCAAGCATCGTGGCCGTCTTGAAGCCCTCCTGGGCTGTCTTCAAGCCATGCTGGACCAATTTTGAAAAGCTCATGTGCGGTCTTGGGCTCTCTTTGAGCAATTTTGGGCCATCTTGGCGCCCTCTTGGACGTCTCTCGGCCCCCTTTGACGTTTTTTGGCGCCCCCCGCAGGGCCCGAAACGGCCGGAAGGTAAATCAGTGCACTTTGGGGGGCCCGGGACACCCTGCCCATCTGATGTATGTATATATATATATACACACACTAGAAACACGTGGGCGCTTCGCGCGCGCTAAGGTTCTAGCAAGCACCCGCCCTCGACAAATTCGTAAATGCACGCGCATACGCACATATCCAAGCATGAGGTGGCCATGAACTGAAAAAGTAGCACGAAGGCGGACCAAACATATACACATTACCGACAGGGACACGCCAAAACAATTTCAACACGACGCAAGGCAAGACAGTGCAAAGCCGCGAAATGAATCGAATGCTTTGCAACGGAAGTGAATTGTAAAACACATGATTACGCTAAGCGGATGTAGTACCAACCCATCGTAACAAACAAAACGCATAGAATTTGAAGGAATAGTAATAAGCAGTACACACGCAATGCATAACAATGGGCTGCGATCGAATTCAAGACATCCGATGAACTTGATCACCCAAAGAACATGGAGTTTGGATGGCGTAGGAACGGGAAATCCAACGAAAGAGCCCTGGGAAACTGGGCTGGAGGTCGTAAGAGCCACCAGGTCCACTGCAGAGAGGAAGGGCGAGTGCACAGAAGACGGGGTAGGGAGGAAGGGCTAGAGAAGGAAAGGCTAGGTCGCTTTGATCATTCCAAATCGTCTTCGGTCCATCATGCCACCGTGCCTGCCTTGCGGATCAGAGCTCTTTGAATGCCTGTTGGGGTATCGCGGGAATTCTCTGGGGAGCCTCTTGGAGGCCATCTGAAGCCTCTTAAGAACTTCTGGGGGGCCAATTGGGACTCACTAAACACCTCTTTGGGACATTAGGGCGTTGGTGATGCCCCCAAACACGCGACAGAACTGCAATGAGACGGTCACGACTGCTGTGGATGGTGAAGAAATTCGTTATCAATTTACGGACGAATGTTCGAACGTTGACTCGGAATCAAAAGATGTGCACGACATGTGGGGTAATGCCAAAAACACGCCATAACATGTGCAACAAAGATGCTACAGCGCCAGGGCAGTACCACGCGGCCGCCTTGGATATCACTTGGATTTGATAAAGCAATGAAGCCAAACAATATTACGTAGCCATACGGAAGAATAATCTAGACGGTTGAAAGAGATACGGGAATTAACTAAAAGCATCAAAACGGAATTTGTGGACAAGCAGATCCAAGGAAGGGATTGGACATCCTTGAAAAGAATATGCCATGCCGGTCGAAGCCCCACAAACAAGACAGACTACGTGATCTACGAGGCGAGCTTGTTGATATCGAAGAGGTGGACACGATGGCCGAGTATTTGGAATCAGAGTAATGGACAGTCCGGCCAGCCAGCAACAGTGTTGGATCGAGCACTACTCGGAGACGCCTGTGCACATCACCGACACCAATTTTTCAGACAAAGATGTTGGATTCGTAATCTCAAAATTGAAGCGGTGAACAACGTCTGGACTGGATGACATAGCAACGGAGTGGGCATTGGCAAAAGACCGTAACAAATCCGCCCCCGTGCCTGCGGCACGTCGAGGCGTGGAAGAATGCCAAGGGCTGCCTGGCAGGGTTTGACCCCCCCCCCCCCGTCACGCCCACCCCACTCGGGGACCTTCTGACCCGGGTCAATCCAGACCCGGGTCAGCAGGAAACAAAAAAACTGCAATGCAGGAGAAAAAAAAAAAAAAACGCAACGCAGGTCTTCGCCAACCCGGGTCAGCCACTATGCGCGGCCGCCTCGCGGCCACGAGCGGCTCGCGAATCCGGGTCAGCCAGAAGGGGTCCTCGCAGGATCCTGCAACATCCGGTGCCCTGGCTGACCCCTGTTTGCATTGACCCCCGCCTCAAGGCTCCCGACCCACTGCACTACCCCTGCAGTCGAGGCGTTGACCTAAGGAACTCCAAATAAGGAACGAGGCCCCTATTTTCCGTAAGTTAAACTTCGATTTCGTATCGAAAACCCAAGGAAAATCGAAGGCAAGCTGCGAAACAATCCAGGAGCACGGAGCCCCTCCCCCACGAAAAGGGTTCCTTCTTCAGGGCCCCGACTGTACTCCCGGGGGGGGTCCCTGGGCGGCCACGGCCTCTCCCTGGGGCCCCCCAGGGCTCCCAGGACGGCCCAGGAGGCCGCCACGACGGTCCCCAAGAGGGCCCCGAGTCGCCGAAGGAGCGCTCGAAGACGCCCACGAGGCCCTCCAGATGGCCATGCAAGACGCCCCAGGAAGCTCCCAAGCTGCCTCCCAAGAGGGCCCCAGGAGGCAATCATCAGTTCTGCTCCTGCGTTTTGGGGCAACTGCTGACGTTCTCGCCTGTTCTGTTTTCCGACGCTCCAAGACGGCCCGAGAGGCCCCCAAGACCACCCCAAAACAGCCCAAGAGGCCTACAAGAAGGTCCCAAGGTTGCCTAAGAGCGCCCCAAGACGGCCCCAATAGGGGCCCGAGGAAGGGAACACGCATCGAAAGTCCGAACATTCCCCCTCAAGAGGCCCCAAGAGGTCCCTAGAGGTGCCCAAGAGCCCCCAAGAGGCCCTAAGAGTCCCTCAGAACTGCCTCCAAGAGGCCACCGGGAGAGGCCTCCCACGAGATCCGAACGGACATCCAATAGGCTGCATACACACAGCCCAAGCACGGCGGCGGGACTTGCCGTCGGCGTCCAGATACTATTGACCTGTATTACTTCGCTGATCAACGCGTGCTGGAAAGAAAAGCAAGCGCCGACGGAATGGAAACATCCGACATCACGGCCATGTACAAAAACAAAGGGCCAATCGATCAGAGGGACAATTACAGCCCTACCAGTCGATTGTATCATTTGCAAGCTATCTGCGACGCTAGTGCTGGGGAGACTACAAGACGCGGGGGCCAAGAGCAGACCGACAACGACACAATTCGGTTTCAAGAGAAGGATGGGCACCACCGATAAATTTCATGTTGTGCACAGACATGTCTAGACCCGCCACCGTGCCGCTGGGCACGGAGTGGGCTTGTCCTCAGGTCCGTTGCAAAATTCCGCAAGCACTCTGGCGGAATCATTCAAAGACTCAGACCTCAACTTGCCGAATCTCTCGGGGCTTCCCGCGTGCCCACTGGGGCTTCCCGCAACTTCTCGCGTGACTTGTGCTCGGCGCCAAGCGGGCGCTAAGACGGGCCCAAAGGGCTCCAAGATGCCCCGAAGACGGCCCAATAGGGCACCGATCGGCGCAAGATGCCCAAGACGGCCCGAAGACGGCCCAAGAGGCCTCCAAGACGCCCAGGGGGGCCTCCAAAAGGCCTCCCAAGAGGGCCCCAAGAGGCCATAAGCATTTATGTTCTTACACTTTTGGGCAGATGCTGACGTTCTCGCCTGTTTTGTTTTCCGCGACGCTCCAAGACGGCCCGAGAGGCCCCCAAGACCACCCCAAGACGACCCAAGAGGCCTACAAGGAGGTCCCAAGCAAGCCTAAGAACGTCCCAAGGCGGCCCAAGAAGCGCCCAAGACGGCCCAATACTGCCCCAAAAGGGTCGGAGAGAGGGGATCCGAACCGACAATCCGAGCCTGCCACCCCAAGAGGCCCCCAGGAGGCCCCAAGAGGCGCCTAAGAGGCCCCCAAGCGGCCCCCAAGAGGCCCCAAGAGGCCACACAAAGACTCAAAACAGCCTCCAAGAGGCCCCCGCGGAGCCTCCCACGAGACCCCTATCGAACATCCAATAGGCTTCATAACAACGGTGGCGGAATGGGCCGAAGGCCATTCGAGATCCGCCGCCCCCTGCTTGCAGGGGTGCACGGCGTGCTGGACGAGCTGTCAGGTTTTGGTTTTGGTTCTTTTTCCAAAAGAACTCCCCAGTGGGCTCCGGCAGAACCCGCCACCGTGCGCAAAAACGGCCGTTTCGCTCGGGACATCCTCAAAAAATCGAGAAGATGGCCCAAGATGGCCTCCAAGTCCGCCCGAGATGGTCCAAGACGGCCTCCAAAACGGCCCAAGAGAGTCCAAGACGGCCCAAGACGGCCCAGAGGCCCCCCAGAGGCCTCCCAGACGGCCCAAGAGGCCTCCAAGAGGTCCTCCAGGAGAGTCCGAAGAGGCCAAAATCATTGATTTTTCCTTGGTTTTTGAAGGATTTTGGCATTTGCGCCTTTTCGGCTCTCCGACGGCTCAAGACGGCCCAAGAAGCCCCCAAGATCGCCCAAGAGGCCCCCAAGAGAGCCCCCTGATGGCCCAAGTGGCCTCCAAGATGGCCCCTAGAGGGCCCCAAGACGGCCCAAGAGGCCTCCAACACGCCCAAGATGGCCTCCAAGACGCCCAAGATGGCCTCCAAGACGGCCCTGGAGCGCCCCAAGAGGGTCCCCCGTTGGCCCAGAAAGGCCCCCAAAACGGCTCCCGACGGCGTCAGACGTGCCAGGAACCCACCAAGATGGCCGAAGTTGGCTCGAAGCTGGCCCAAAAGGGCCCAAGAGGCCCCCAAGAGGGCCTCCAGGAAGGCCAAAAGATGCCAAAATCACTGATTTTCCCAAGGTTTTTGATGGATTTGGGCATTTCCCTTTTTTCGGCCTTCCGACGGCCCGAGACGGCCCAAGAGCCCCCAAAGATCGCCGAAAGATCGCCCAAGAGGCCTCCAAGACGGCGACGATGACCATCAAGACGCCCACGTGTTCCCCGAAGGCTTTCCAAACCGATTCGGGGAACACATGGTCCGATGGCTTGGCAGGTCTGGCCTCAACGTTCGGCCACATAGGCGCTTCCACAAAGGCAGGGGGCGGCGGTGATTCGCCGTAGGCGTCTTCGATCACACGCGGAACGGGAAGGACCAACCACTATGAATGCGCTGGACTGGAAGAAAACATTCGACTCGATCAACGTGACCGTTCTTTTGGACGCATTGCGGTTTGTGGTGTACCACCACACAGTCTTTCACTCAGAAAGCACACGTGGACAGAAATCACGCACCCTAAACCGACGATCGGGAATTGGGCAGGGTTGTCCTCGATCGCCATTCCTCTTTGTCATGGTGACGAGTTTGGTTCCAAAGAACGCAGAAGACAAACTGGACGAGGCATCGTTCACAGCTCTTGCTGGTAATGTGGTTGTTCTTTGTACGTCGATGACTCCCCCTTGGCTGGACGGCACGCTGGTCAACTATAGGATGCAAATGCAGCAGCAGGAGCAGAAGTGGGGATGAAGCTTTATAGGGTAAATTTCAGCTTATAAACAGGCTGCGACATGCAAAGTTGAGCCCCAGATGGCAACCCGATTCCAGCTACTGAACACATGAAGAACCTGGGGGCAACGATTTACAGTTCTGTCAACATAAAGCAAGCCCTGGTTAAAAGACCTGGGGGAGCTTGGGGGGAAAGTCTAAAATACACGGGGGGTTGGAAACATACGTCCATCAGTGTAGAGAGAAAGCAGAGCGTATTAGTGGCGCTGGTTACGACTCGAATTGGGTAGTATGTGAACTCTGCCTGGCAAGAAAACGGCAGACGAAGTTTGGATGGGTTCGAGGCGCGGTGTCTTCGCCATATTCTGAACATGCATCGTTCTTATACCCCAAGGGTGTCCAACAAAAATGTGCTGCCGCAGGCGGGGGCGATACCTTACATTGGTTAAGTTCGCCAGCATCAAAACATGTGGCTTGGGAAACATGGCCGCAGTAGCGACGCGGACGCGCTCCGAAATCGAACCTTCCAAACAGGCAGCGTGAGACCGACGACTGCTGCTATCGCAAGGAAGTGTGGTTGGCGCCCCAGGCGCGAGTGGGCGACGTGTTTGTGTGATATGGGACCACAAGACGCTTCGGATCGGCTTCTGCTCGTCACCGGTGCGTCGCAGAGAAACGGCAATGGCGTCGCTGTGGTACAATACGGCTGACGAACACGAGCGATCCTGCACCTCCTCCTCCTCCTCCTGCTCCGCCTCCCCCTCCTCCCCCTCCTTATCCTCCTCCTCCGCGGCTTGTACTTCGCTGCTCCTCTCCCTCCCTGGCTGGCTGTCGGCCACGCGGCCGAGACAGAGCCCCAGCGAACACCCAGCTCTGGCGATGGCCCCCCCCCCAGGGTCCCAGCTTGGCGCCCTGCCTAACCCCGTCCTCTCCTCCTCCTCCTCCTCCCCTCCTCCTCCTCCTCCTCCTCTCCTCCTCCGCCGCCTCCTCCTCATCCTGCTCCTCCTCCTCCTCCCCCCTCCCCTCCTCCTCCTCCTCCTCCTCCTCCTCCTCCTCCTCCTCCTCCTCCTCCCTCTCCTCCCCCCTCCTCCCCCTCCTCCCCCTCCTCTTCCTCCCTTCCTCCTCCTCCTCCTCCTCCTCCTCCTCCTCCTCCTCCTCCTCTTTCTCTTCCCAGGGCGGGCGCCAGCCAACCTCGCCTCTGCTCGTACATCTTTCAGCGGGCGAAGAACGGTATGAAATAAACTTTTCGCCGTTGGGAACGCTGCCCCAGGGCGGCGGGAAAGGTCATACCGGTACGGTGGCGCGTCAGGGGATAAACTTTCCAGCCGCCCTGGGCCCTGGGCCTGGCGCCCCCGACAGCGAAACAATGTAAATCATACCGTCCTTCGCCCGCTAAACGTTCTGCTTCACAGTCGTGGGGCTCTCTGCATGTTCTGCGTCACAGTCGCGCTGAGTGTTTGCTCCCTCTCGCGTCCAGAGCGGTGCCAATGTTTCGCACTCGTCTGCCCGCGAGCCCTGCTGGGGGCAGGGCCCATCAGGAGCAGTATAAGTACAGTCCCATGCGTTGTCTCGCCCACGCGCCAATTGGTGTATGGCTTCTTTAGAAAGCAGAAATCCCCCCTCAGACTAAGCGCCCCGACAAGCGAAGCCGTTTCGTAAACGCACCCGAGGAAGGAATCGAACAGGGCAGGGCTGTTTATTAAACGCCCTGGGCCGTTCACTAAATTTGTCGCGGGGTCTGGGTGGTTTTTCTTCCCTTGATTCTTGACTTGACTTGATTTTGGGTGTTTCTTGGGAGCTTCTTGGTGGTATCGGAGGTCCTTCTGGGGCGGAGGGCCCGACCTGTCAGTTCGAGTTCCCCTCCTCGGGCTTCTCCTCGGGCTCTCTTGGGGCGCTCGTGGGCCGTCTTGGGCGCACATGGGGCTGCCTTTCTTTGTTTTCTCGCCGCCGCCGCCGCAGCCGAGCTGACGGCGGATGGAACGAAATGAGGACATGCCCCCATCATTCCACGCGCGCCCATTCGACAGGCGGCGCCTCTTCCGGCGCCAGCGAGGAGCGTAAGGAGAAACGGGGGGGGAGGGAGGGAGGAGGCAGGAAGGGGCGGAGAAGGAGGGGGAGAGGGAGACGGAGGGAGAGGAGGAGCGCCGAGCTTCTGCCCCAGCTGCGAGGACGTGCCGGTTTGAAAAACCGGGTACGATCCATCGAAAACGAAGTAGCGAATTCCCGTAAGTACGGGAAGCTGGACGGTGTCGGAGAATTGAAAGGAGTCCGAGCTGTACCCCTAAGCATTGCTCCTCCGAGCCCGCGGGGCGCGCGCGCAAACAACGCGCTCCCCGACCGTCGGCTCGACGAGGAGCAAGATGAGGCACAATGAGCATCGTTTAAACATCCCTATCCCCATGCTCCTCCTACTCCACTTCCTCCACCTCCTCCTCCTCCTCCTCCTCCTCCTCCTCCTCCTCCTCCTTCTCTTCCCATGGCGGACGCCAGCCAACCTCGCCTCTGCTCGTACACCTTTCAGCGGGTGAAGAACGGTATGAAATAAACGTCCCGCCGTTAGGAACGCTGTCCCAGGGCGGCTGGAAAGTTCATACCCGTACGGTGGCGCGTCAGGGAGGGAGGAGGCAGGAAGGGGCGGAGAGGGAGGGGGAGAGGGAATCGGAGGGAGAGGAGGAGCGCCGAGCTTCTGCCCCAGCTGCGAGGGCCGCATTCAACTTTGACTGGAGGACGTGCCGGTTTGAAAAACCGGGTGCGATCCATCGAAAACGAAGTAGCGAATTCCCGTAAGTACTGGAAGCTGGACGGTGTCGGAGAATTGAAAGGAGTCCGAGCTGGACCCCAAAGCATTGCTCCTCCGAGCCCGGGCGGGGCGCGCGCAAACAACGCGCTCCCCGACCGTCGGCTCGACGAGGAGCAAGATGAGGCACAATGAGCATCATTTAAACATCCCTATCCCCATGCTCCTCCTACTCCACTTCCTCCACCTCCTCCTCCTCCTCCTCCTCCTCCTCCTCCTCCTCCTCCTCCTCCTGTCCTCCTGTCCTCCTCCTGCTCCTGCTCCTGCTCCTGCTCCTGCTCCTGCTCCTGCTCCTGCTCCTGCTCCTGCTCCTGCTCCTGCTCCTCCTCCTGCTTCCTGCTCCTGCTCCTGCTCCTGCTCCTGCTCCTGCTCCTCCTCTCCTCCTCTCCTCCTCCTCCTCCTGCTCCTGCTCCTCCTCCTCCTCCTCCTCCTCCTCCTCTCTCCTCCTCCTCCTCCTCCTCCTCCCTCCTCCTCCTCCTCCTCCTCCTCCTCCTCCTCCTCCTCCTCCTCCTCCTCCGCCTCCTCCTCCGCCTCCTCCTCCTCCTCCTCCTCCTCCTCCTCCTCCTCCTCCCCTCCTCCTCCTCCTCCTCCTCCTCCTCCTCCTCCTCCTCCTCCTCCTCTCCTCCTCCTCCTCCTCCTCCTCTCTCTCTCTCTCTCTCTCCCTATATATATATATATATATATCACTATCTATATAGATGTGTATATATCCACAAGATTGAATTGGCGCTTCGCGCCATGCGCCTTGTTCCGGACGCTTCCCGGGCAAAGCAATACATCATCGCTTGCCTCAGCACCGCTCCTCATGGGAGGAGGTACTGAGAAAAAAAAACGTCTCGATGTTCATATGCCACCTCCAAGGTTTATCCCTACCCATCCCTTCCTCCTCCTTTCCTCCTCTTCCGCCTCCTCTGGCGGTTGAGTCCGCCCTCTGAGGAAGTAAGGAGCGTTCCCATGACACGCCGACGAAGTCACAGCATCCCCGAACAATTGATTTTTAGTCGCTTCCTGCATGCCTGGAGGGCGCACTCATGAAATCTTCGATCGTCGAACTTCGAATCTAGATCCATTGCCTGTCTTTCTCGATCGAGGAATTTAAACCTCGAGCCTCAAGCGTGGAACCAAGATCGTCGGGTCAGCTCGATGTACTTCGTAGGAGAACGCCGTCTGCACGTTTTTGGTGCTCTTTTGGGCCGTCCTGAGGCCCTCTTGGGCCGTCCTGGGGCCCTCTTGGGCTGTCCTGGGGCCTTCTTGGGCCGTCTTGGGGAGCTGGGGCCCTCCAGGGGTCTTCTGAAGCCATCTAGGGCCCTCTCTCTTGGGGGCCTCCAATGGCCTTCTTGGGGGTCTCCCATGGCATTCGTGGGTCTCTCTTGGGAGCCTTCTGGGGGCATCGTGGGCTTCTTGTGGGCAGTCTCGGGGCTCTCTGGGGCAGTCTTGGGGCCCTCTTGGGCCGTCTTCAAGCCCTCTGGGAGGCCTCTTGGGCTGTCTTGGGGCGAGGTCGGGGGCCCATCTGGCCATCTTGAACGCTGCGAAAACCCAAAAAACGGACACGCTAAAAGTACACATGTTCTTAAGAGGATGGGGCGATGTTTGCTTCTTCGGGGCTGTCTGAACGGCCTCTTGGGGCGTCTTTGGGGCCTCTTGGGCCGTCTTCAGACCATCGAGGTTCCTCTTGGAGCGCTCTTGTGCTGTCTTGAGTCTCCACTGCGCCTCTCCGATGATCCCTCTGATCGCCTTGAGTCTGCTCGCAAAGCCCGGCAAGGCGCCCTGGGAGGCCCCGAAGGGCCAGCGGACCTTTTCCCAGGGCGTCCAGGGGACCGCCGAGACGTCCGAAAGGGAGCCCAGGCCGTCCCTGGGGGGGGGGTCCAGTTTAGGGAGGGGGGTCCGGGCAATACAGGTATAAGAACAGGGATATGAATATCACTGTATCTCCATATATCTCTTGGGGGCCCCTTGGGGGTCCTCTTGGGGCGGGGGGCTCGCAGTTCCAATTGGCTTCCCCCATGTTGGGCTCCACTTGGGGCGTTTGGGGATGCCATTCGGGCCGTCTTGGGTGGCTCTGGGACCGTCTTGGGGCCCTCTTGGGCCGTCTTGGCGCCCCCTGGGGGGCCTCCTGGGCCGTATTGCGGCGATCTTGGAAGCCCGTGAAGTCGGTAAGACGAATATGGTAAAAAATGCTGGTTTACGAAGGAAGAGGGGCCGTTTTTAGCATCTCGACGGCCTCTTGGGGGACACAGTGTTGTGAGGCGTCTTGGAAGCCTCTTGGGGGCTGTTTGGGGGCCTCTTGGG